TCTCAGAGTCACCCTGAGGGTCTCAATGAGGCTCCAGGGGTTTCAATGCAGCCACAGAGTCTCACGGTGCCTGGGTCTGGAGTCTCAGGAGGTCCTTGGGCTCACAGAGTGACTCCTGGGGTCTTACAGTGGCTCTAGAAATCTTAGGGCAGCTGGACACAGGGGTATAAGGGTGGCTTCAGGGGTCTCAATGAGGCTCCAGGGGTCTCAGCGCAGCCCTGGGGACTCACAGTGCCTGGGTCTGGGGTCTTAGGAGGGCCCAAGGTCTTAGGGTGGCTCCAGCTGTCCTACAGTGGCCCTGGGATTCTCATGGCAGTTGGACACCGGGGTCTCAGGGTGACCCCAGAGGTCTCAAGGCTGCCCTGGGATCTCAGTATCTGGGTCTGGTGTCTCATGTGGCCCTGGGGTCTGATAGTGGCCCTGGAGATCACATGGCAGCTGGGCCCTGGGCTCTCGTGGCAATCCAAGGCTCTTAGGGTGTCCTAGGGGTCTCAGGGTAGCCTCGGTGGTCTCTGGGGAGCTGCAGGCTGTGACATCCCATCCTGCAGGCCCTGGCGCTGTGCTGCGGCGTGCTGACCTGCTGCTGCTGTTTCTGCTGCTGCTTCTTCTGCTGTGGGAGGTGCTGCCCGCCCCGTGAAGACGAGTCCTATAAGTACGTCGACCCCAAGGACTTGGAGGCGGACGATGGTGGCGGTGAGTTGGGGTCTGAAATCGTGACCCACCGCAGGGCTGGGGGCTGGTGGGACCCATGGGCTGGGAGCTCCCTTGGATTCTTCAGGGTCTGCAACGTGAGTGCTGTGCTGATGCCAGCAGGCTGCCCCATATCACTGCCCGGACCCCCAGGACCCCTCCCCAGGTCAACTGATCCACACCTTTTCTTTCCAGACCCACAGGACCCGGTGGAAGCGCAGCCCTCCCCAAGCGGCGCCCAGCCCCTGCCCGCTGCCGGAGCCAGGAGCGAGGCATAGGGCTGCCTATGTGCCGGGGGAGGGGGAGAAGGGGGGGTGGAGAGCCTCCTCCTGGACCACCGCCGCTCCCTAGGACCCCATCAGGGGGCGTGGGGGGGGCACAATCTCAGGTGAAAACGTCCTGCAGCGCTGTGACCGAGACCGGTAGCACTGTAACCGCGGGGCCGGACCCCCCTGACGGGCGCTGGGTGCCAAACGCTGCTCTGGGGTTGACGGGGTGGGGTGGGGGGTTTGAGAGGAGGGAGAGGAGGAGCCGCCCGCCGTGCCCCCTCTCTGCCCCACCGCGGGGCCGCACCGCGCTCGCTATGGGGCTGGGACCCTTCAGGCACTTTCCGTGGGTTTGTATAGATTTTATGAGCACCATTAAAGGATGATGGGGGGGGATTCGGCGGCGTGGTCTCTTGTCTCGGAGGGGCGGCGGTGGGGCTGGGCTGGGCTGGTGGGGGCAGCGCCGTGCCGCTCCCGGTGGGCGTCGGGACGGAGTGACCCCGGCGGTGGGACGGCCGCCCGCCGTGACTCAGTGTCACCCGACGCCGCCGACAGCTGCGCGGCCCCGACGGGGCGGGGGCGGCTAAAATTAGAGCTGCGGGGCCGGAACGGGGCAGTGCGGGGCAGGAGCGGTACCGAAGAGGTACCGGGACCGCGGCGATGAATTTCGCGGTGGGGCTGAAGCCGCTGCTAGCGGAAGCGCGCAGCATGGAGAGCCTGGAGAAGCAGCTCATCTGTCCCATCTGCCTGGAGATGTTCACCAAGCCCGTGGTCATCCTGCCCTGCCAGCACAACCTCTGCCGCAAGTGCGCCAACGACGTCTTCCAGGTGCGGGGCGAGGCGGGGCGCCGGGACGGGGTGCGCTGTGCCCTGGGTTGGGGGCTCCGTGCACGGGAGGAGGAGGGGGGGGTCTCTCTCCCGAAGCGGCGCGCTGACCCCCCCCGCCCTGCTCTCCCCTTCCACCCCGTCCCCCTCCCCTAGGCCTCCAACCCGCTGTGGCAGTCGCGGGGTTCCGGCGCCGGGCCGTCCGGGGGACGGTTCCGGTGCCCGTCGTGCCGCCACGAGGTGGTGCTGGACCGGCACGGGGTGTACGGGCTGCAGCGGAACCTGCTGGTGGAGAACATCATCGACATCTACAAGCAGGAGTCCGCGCGGTGCGGGGCGGCCCACGGTTGGGCGGGGCGGGACACGGATTGGAGGGAGCCCGTTTTTGGGGGGTGGCGGAATTGGGGTTAAAGGGGGCGTCTGAGGGGCTTGGGGGCACCGTGGGGTGAGGTTGGGCAGGGGGGTGCCGTGGCGTGTGGGGTATAGGGGGTTGCGCAGGGAACACGAGGGGAAATAAGGCTCGAGGGTGCGGATTTGGGGTAAAGGGGCTCCTGTGGGGCTGGGGGTGCGGTGGGGCGTAGGGGTGCGGTGAGGCGGGGGATGCTATAGGGAAGAGGGATGCCGTGGGGCTGTGCCGTGGGGCGCAGCGCCTTCTCCCCATCCCCCACCCCGACCCGCAGCCCCCTGCACGCGAAGGCGGAGCAACATCTGATGTGCGAGGAGCACGAGGACGAGCGCATCAACATCTACTGCCTGCGCTGCGAGGCGCCCACCTGCTCGCTCTGCAAGGTGTTCGGCGCTCACAAGGACTGCGAGGTCGCCCCTCTGCCCGCCGTATACCAGCGCCAGAAGGTGGGATACCCACAGGGGTGGGGGGATTGGGCACGGTAGGGAGGTTTCCCGGCGCGATCCCAACGCTGCTCCGCCCCCCAGAGCGAGCTGAGCGACGGCATCGCCATGCTGGTGGCGGGGAACGACCGCATCCAGGCCATCATCACTCAGATGGAGGAGATCTGCCGCACCATCGAGGTGGGGCTGCCCTGTGTGTGCGTTTTCCCCCCCTCCTCCCCAGACCCCTTGTGTGGGGTCTGTGTGGTTTGGGATCTCCACGCCGTGGCTTGTGTCCACCTCGTGGGATGCTCTTGGGAGGGAAATGCCCGCTGCAGGCACGGAATGCGGGTGTTCCCGGGGCAGTGCCATCAGTAGGGCTGGGCTTAGAGCATGGCAGCCCCCTGAGCCCCTGGGGGGTCCCGCAGGAGAACGGCCGCCGGCAGAAGCAACACGTGGGGCTGCGCTTCGACTCGCTCTGCAGCATCTTGGAGGAGCGCAAGAAGGAGCTGCTGCAGAGCGTCACCCGCGAGCAGGAGGCGAAGGTGCAACGCGTGCGTGGCCTCATCCGACAGTATGGGGACCACCTGGAGGCCTCCTCCAAGCTGGTGGAGACGGCCATCCAGGCCATGGAGGAGCCCCAGATGGCCGTGTACCTGCAGGTGTCTGGGGGGGCTGCGTGCTGGGGGCTCTGCCCTGTGCTCTGCGGCTTGGTGCGTTGCTCCTGGGATGCTGATGGCACTCTGCTTTCCCCCACAGCACTCCAAGGAGCTCCTGAAGAAGTGAGTGGCGGTAGGGTGGGATGGAATGGGATGGGATGGGATGGGATGGGATGGGATGGGGTGGGGTGGGGTGGGGATGAGAATGAGATGGGTATGGCGTAGGGGGTAGGTGGGCAGGGCTCACGCTGCTTGCTCTACCCCCAGGATCACAGACATGTCCAAGGTGTCGATGAGCAGCCGCCCTGAGCCCGGTTATGAGAGCATGGACCACTTCTCCATCAATGTGGACCATGTGGCTGAGATGCTGCGCACCATTGACTTCCAGCCAGGTGCCGGTGTGGGGCAGGCACTGCCTGGGGGGGGGAGACTGCTACAGGGATGTCCTCACACTTAGTTGTGCCTCTGCCCCACAGAAGTGCTGGGTGAGGATGATGGGGACGGACCCACAGACAGCAGTGAGGGTGTGGGGGATGAGGAAAACCTGGAGGCACCTGAGGCTGCTGAGGGTGAGTGCGTGCTGTGCCGTGCAGTGCCATGCTGTGCTATGCTGTGCTGAAGTCACCATGGCACTTCTGTGTGTGCCATGGTGTGGCTCTGTATGGTACATGGTCCCGCACTGCACCATATGATCCTCCCTCCAACTGTCCACTGCTTTTTCTCCACAGATGTGGGGCAAAGGCAGAAGCCACTGAGCTCTCCCCATGGTGAGATGCTCTGTGGGGATGAGCCGGGTGTGATAAGAGGAGTGGAGATGGGATGAGGAAAGGGATGGGGATGGGATGGAGATGGGATGGCAGGGGATGGGGTGAGGAAGGGTGGGGATGGGGAGAGGGATGGAGTGAGGATGGGGGTAGGATAGGGATGGGATTGGGATAGGATGGGGATGGGGATGGGATGGGGAGGGGATGGAGTGAGGATGGGGAGAGGGATGGAGTGAGGATGTGGGTAGGATAGGGATGGGATGGGGATATGATGGGGATGGGAATGGAATGGGGATGGGGTTGGGGATGGGGATGAGATGGGGATGAGGATGTGATGGGAGAGGGACTTTGTGCTGATCACAGTGCTGAGGCCAATGTCCTGTGCAGGTCAGCACTGAGCTGGATTCACAGCACAACACTGGCATCAGCAAACCCTACAGCCCTACGACTGCTACGAGCCCCGCATGGTGGGGCTGCCCTCAGCCCTCATTAAACCAATGCAGAGGACACTGTGAGGTGTGGTGTGTGGGGATGAGTTGGGTGCCCCTCGCCCCAGGGCTTTGCGCTCCGCCTGCAGCCCCGTGTCTGGGGGGAGCACCCACGTCTGCCACCCCCGCAGCGCCGTCTGGCAGCACCGTCCCCTGGGTGCACCGAGCAAACAGCGCCGGGCTGAGCACACAGCACTGCAATTACCGGTGGGTCACGGCCCGTGCCCCCACCCCGCTGCCGCACCGCACCACGTCAGCCACCCCACGTCACCGCTGATGCACGGGGACAGGGACCGCGTGTCTCTGTGCCCCACGGATCCCAGCTCGGCTTGCGGCCTTCAGCAGCGGAAGGGGATGGAGGGCAGTGACGGCTGCTGGGTGGGGATAGGGGCACAGTCGGGGCCACTCAGCCTGGATCGGGGGGGGCTCGGGGAGGGTCTTACCAATATCCGACGTTGGGGACGCGGTGGAGATGGAGACGATGTCCCACACGCGAGTCCACGCTACGGCTTTTCTACAGCGTTTTATTACAAAATCGGAGCGGAGCCGTCCCGAGGGGCAGTCCCGCAGCCGCGCACCCATCAGAGTGGTCCCGGCGCGGTGCGGTGCCGGCGCGGGGCTCAGCGTCCCACGGCGTCGAGGATGCGGCGGTTAGTGTCGGCGCGGGCGCGCTCGCTCTGTGCGCGGGCGAGCAGCAGGAGGTGCCGCAGAAGATGGAACGTGAGGTCGATGGAAAGCGGCGGGTCGTCCCTCCTCGCCCTCCACGGCTCCGCGGGCAGCGGCGGCCACAGTGCTTCGGACCTCCCCTCCGCAGCGGGGATCCCCGAACCGGGGACGTCGGGACCGTCGGGGCGGGCGGGGCGGGGGGCGGCGGGGAACGGGCGGCACAGCAGCAGCAGAACGGTGAGCAGCGCCCGCCGCATTTCGGCTCGTCCGCACCTACGGGGCAGCGGGTCAGCGCGGAATCCGCACCCGACGGGGCTTCCCTGGGGCCGAGCGTCCCCCGTCCCGCCCCGTCCCGCCCCGCTTCGTCCCGCACCGCCCGTACCGCTGCTCTGAGCTCTGGGCGCCTTGCGCTGTGCGGAGCTCCGTCCGTCCCCGCGGGGCTGAGCCGGAGCCGCGCTCGGGGCTTTATATGGGGCTCGGAGCGGGGCTGACGTCAGCGGCGGGCACGCACCGGGCGGGGGCGGGGGGTGCGGGGCTGGGGGGAGCTGCGGGTCCGAACCGCACCGGGACCGGGAGCGGCCTTTCCGGGACCCGCCGCGCTCCGGTACCCGTTCACCCCCCGCACCCCGCACCCCGCCCGGCCCCGCACCGCTCGCGCCCGCACCCCGCGCCCCTCTCCCGGTGCCGCTCTCCGTGGTGCTGAAAGGGCAGCGCGGGGCGCAGCGCCGTCGGCACGAGGCGGCCGTCGGGGCTGCGTTTCCCGTCGAAAATGGGGTGCCGGCCCCCCGCACCGTCGCGACGTCCCCCCTCCAATCCTCCCTCCCCCGGTGCGCACCCCCCCTGGCACCGCGCCGGTCCCTCACGCCGCGGCCAAGTGCTGCAGACGGCCCCGAGGAAGCGGCGGTGGCCAACGGCGTGACTCATAGCGCGAGCGCGGTGCCATGCGGCTCGGAGGTACGGCACCGCGGCACCGCGCCCGGCGAGGATGGGGTAACGGCGGGCCGAGGGCTGAATCCCCGTGCCCAAAACGCCACGGGGATGCAGGGGGCAGAGAATTCACGCGTTGCCAGGAGCAGCAGAGCTCTGCATTTATTGGGTGGTCCTGAAGGACCCGACACGAGTCTGGGTGGAGGTACTGTAGTGCACTGTCGCACGTGGGGTGTGAACCAGCAGCAAGGCTGGGGAAGGACGGAGCACCCCACGTGCTAGGCAGGACACGGAACGCGGACAGAGCAATCTCACAGCCCCACAGGGTCACTGCTGCCATAGCATCCCTGCGGTGCTCCAGCCCCACACACTCCCTGGCCGAGCCCCCAGAGGTGGTGGCTGGGGGCACCTGGAGCACGGCTCCCCCCTCTCAAAGCCGGTTTGCTTTCCAGGACAGGTAGCAGTTCCAGACAATGGCAACACACTGCACAACAGCCAACCTGGGAACAGAGAGATGGATGGGTCAGCAGCCACAGCCATGGGGAACAGGATCCTTGTGGCCATGGGGCTGTGCTGCTACCTGTGGACCAGAGGGACGAAGTAGAAGTTGGCAATCTGCACCGGCGGCCAAATCTGGGCAGAGGGGAGGAGCGATATGAGGGGTCACAGGCAGCTCTGTGCCACGGGATCAGGGAATCCAACCGAGGATTTCATCCTCAGCACTTACACAGTAGTTGGTGAGCAGCGCATCTACGTAGTCCTAGGGAAGGTAGAGGCCATGAGCGCAGGGAGCAGCCCCGCAACCACACCACCCCACACACAGCCCGGCACAGTTGAGGGCAGAGGAGCAGTGCAGGTACAGCTGTGACCCAGCACACAGCAGGCAGGGACTGCAGTCCCCCCAAGCTGGGCATAGGGCAGGTGCCACTTCCCCTGCCTGGGGATGTGCCCATGTAGGGCTGAGAGCGGTGACAGCGTGGGAGCAGAAGGCAGCCAGGAGCCCTGCATGAGGTCTGGGGCACAGCTCCCGCCACCAGCTTTGGTGCAGACCCCCAGGGTCACAGATGTCAGGGACAAGGGGGGAGCACAGCATGCCACCCGTCCCCTTGCCCAGCCTGGCTGTGACTCAGCCAGGATCCAGCCTCATCCCGGCACTGGCCGGCGGCCCAGAACGAGGAGAGTGAGCGCTGGGGTGATGGATGCGCTGTGACGCTCCCTCTACGTGGGGAGAGGCAGATGTGCCCCAAGTAGGGGTGAAGGTGTCCCCAGAGCAGAGCCTGGGGCTCGCAGCCCACCTGGAGCACCCCGTTCCAGTTACAGCCTGCAGGGTGGGGATCTCGCCCACAGCCCTGAGGCACCGTGTGCTGCACCCCGACAGAAGAGTGAGCACCCCTCGTCCCCTCATGCTGCGTCCCATGGAGGGTGGGCACCCGCTCCCTGGTGAGTCACCCTCCGGTTGCGCTGACTCAGCGCCTGCGCTGGGTTCCAGCAATCGCTGCTAATGGGAACCATCTCAGTAATGGCTCTGAGACGTGGCCAGGAGAGGGGACACATGGCATACAGGGAGCTGGGGGCACCGCATCCAGCCCATGTGGGACCCCACAGCATGTCCCACTCCCGCACTCGTCACCTCCTGTAAGATGCTGCACCAAGCACCGACCTGGGTCTGGCCCTGCAGTGGCTTCTCTGTGTCCCATAGCCATCAACACCTCACCCCAGCAGTGGGGCAGCAGCAGCAGCTGGCTCTGGGCTGGGGACACAACAGCCACGAGGGCAGGAGGGAGCGGAGAGGTCAGGGGCAAACCCAGCACCACGAATGTTAGAGCCAAGCGGGCATCCTGGCCCCACCAGCCCAAGCCGCTTGGGGAAGGCACGCACCTGCTGGATCTTGGCCCAGTTCTGCTCCACCGACAGCCCGTTCACCACCCCGGTGATGGCGAGGAAGCAGCCGAGGAAACACGGTGCAAAGGCACCCTGCAAGAGAGCAGCAGGAGCCTGGCTGAGACCCTGCAGTGCCCGGAGCCCACAGCACACAGCTGCAGGGATGGGCCTGCAAATCTGGGAGCACCAGAAGCAGTAGCAGGAGGGAGGCAGCACCGTCCTGCCTCCCCATCCCCACACCATGTGGCACTGACCTGGTCCAGCATCATCTTCTTTACAGCCACAGCTTTCGTGGCCCCTGGGACGAGCCGGTCCAGGATCCTGTACCACCCGCCCACAACGGGGCCCTGCGAGAGCTGCGTGCTGAGCGCGGTGCCTGGGCCGTGGGGAGCCTACAAAACTGGGCAGCCACCTGCCCACACCACAGCTTGGCACGTGTGCCCCCCACATCAGCACTCACCACGAAGCAGAAGCCGATGGCTGTCATTTTCAGGGTGCGTTGGCTGTGGTGCCCGTGCAGCCCGCGCTGCTCCACCAGCTGCTGTGCGATCACATCGCCGGCTCCCATCAGTGCCCCTGAAACCGGCCTGGAGCTCAGGAGGGCAGCGGGCATGGGGTGTGGGTTCTGCCCAAGCACAGCCCCCAGCCTCACGAGTAGCTGATCCCCAGTTGTGCCGTTCCTCGCTCGGTGCCAGGACCGCTCCTGGTTCCTCCTGGCCTCTGGCACAGCTCGGAGCAGTGTTTCCATATCAGTGTGCAGGATTTAGCTGCGTGCCCACGCCCTCGGTGGGGTGCAGCTCAGCAGGTCTTTGGCAGCCCCCTCCTCGTTCTGCCCTCCCGACCTCTTCGACGCAACTCCCTTGGCTCGGCACTCTGTGCCCCAGCCCTTGTGGGTTCCACGCTCACTCCCAGCACTCTGGTTCCCAGGCAGTGCTCCAGCCCTCATGCTTCTGCTCCCTTCTTGAGAACTTGGAGCACCCCCCATATCAGCCCCTCGCAGAGCAGACTCCAGCCTAAGGTCAAAGCCACAGCACTGTGCACCCAGCATCCCCAGCCTGAATGCATCCACAGGGGGATGCAACCCCCAGCATGACCCACCCTGACAGGCAAGGGCCAGACTGTACAGCTGAGGTGGCCCAGGAGGGTTTGGTGACAGTGACCCAACCCTAACCCATAACCAAGGATGAGCTCACTGCTGTGTCCCCCCCAGTCCCCCCAGGCCCTGCTTGTTTAGTCTACTGCTCCTGAGCGCTGCAGCCAAGGGCCCTGGAGCGCACTCAAGCCTAAGTAGGGCACAATGTAGGCAGCCCCTGTGGGCCTCGCTGGCTGCAGGGCTGCTCACTCCAGGCAGAGGTCACCAGGTCACCATTGCGGGCACGTGCTGCTGCTGCCGCCGGACTCAGGCTCTGCTGGCATGCTGGACCCCATCCCAGGCTGCAGGAGGTAAAGTGCTGCCCCGCAGTTCTCACCACTGCTGGCTGCCCCCAGTGCAAGCAGCTGCCAGGAAATGTCCCCAGCCTGGCCCCGGCTGCAGATCTGTGCTGGGGGAACATCTCAGCTGCACAGCAGGACCGGAGCTCTGGGCTGGAACGTGGAGGGCTGCAGTCCTTCAGGTGTGCCCAGACACAAGGACTGAGCCCCTCCTTGGCCACCGAATCCCATTCAGCACCGAGGGCTGCACACTCCCACAGTCAGTCCAGGGGCTGCCCCCCACTGCAGAAGAGTCAGCTCCAGTAGTGAGAAGCAACAGTGAGAGGGATCCCAGAGCAAGTCTCAAACTGCAGTGTGTGCTCAGCGCGAGGGCCCCCCGGCTCTGCCTGGCCCCCCTCCAGGACACGGAGGAACATCGCGGCGGCACAGCCCCACAGCGGGTGCCAGGCAGTGAATTCCATCAGAGGAGATAAAAATAACAAAGGGAACGGTGAGGTGGCCTGGCACAGCCCCAGCGCCTGGCACCACCCCCAGCAGCGGCTGGCAGCAGAGCCGGTGCCGTCACCCCACGGGTATTGGGGGGAGGGGGATGGGCAGAGGATACTGGAGGCGCTCCCATCCCCCAACCCCCCCCTTCCGGGAACGTGCGTTTCAGTGGGCTCAGGGCTACATGCGGGGATCCACCTGAAAAGGGGTAGAGGCCTCTGGACTCGTGGCATCCGCCCGTCCCGGACACGGAGGGGTCCCAAAGGAAACGGAAGGGACCAAGAAGCGGCCCACGGAGCCCGGGGCGGCCGCCGGGGAAAGTCCTCTGCAGGCCCAGGCGCCGGGGCCGAACAGGCCCAAAGCCCCTACAGCTCCTCCCATCCCCAAGGCCCCACCACTACCAGCACCCCCCGGCCCACGGAGTCGTCGTGCGATGCAGAGGAGGGCGGGCCGGGCCCTTACCGGCGGTCAGCGCCTGCACGGCCCCGGGCCGCCGCGCCAGGAGCCGCCGCAGCGCCGCCATGCCTCCCGCATGGCCACGTGACACGGCGCAGAATGATGACGCACACCCCAGCGCGGCACAGGAGCGGCTGAATGGAGGCGGCGCCCCGTCGCAGTTTATTGTCGTCAGTAGCGGCCCAGCACGGTGGCCAGCAGCGCCATCCGCACGTACATGCCCTGCTCTGCCTGCCGGAAGTACGCGGCGCGCGGGTCCGAGTCCACCTCCACGCTGCGGATGTGATGTCAGTACGGGGAGTTTTCCCCCCTCTCCCCCCGAGGCCGGATGGGAACCATTTCCTCCCCTTCACAGCCCCCTATTGCCGCCGTTTGCCCGCAGGACCCCAGCTGCGTGCGATCCCCTCTCCCCAGGCCCCCACACTCAGACCCCATTTACCCTGTCATCTCACATTTCCCTCCACCCGGGGACAGGACCTTTCCCCGTTACCCCCAACCCAGCCCTGATGCCCTGCTGCCCCAAGGACCCCACCAGCTGGTTGCACCCCCCTCCAGGATCCCATTCCTCCTCATCTGCACAGCATCCAACCCTTGCCTCCCCTTGTCTCCCCCTGCAAAGCCCCTGTCTTCCTTCCTACCACTCCTCCCCCATTCCAGGACTCCATAACCCTACCACAAGACTGCCCCCCTCAATCCCACCTGATCTCGTTGACACGGGGCATGGGGTGCATCACCACCATCTTCTCCTTGGCCCTCGTCATGATGTGCGGCGTGAGGATGAACTGCCCAAAGCACTGCGGGGCCACAGCCCTGAGCAAGGGGGGGGGAAACAACCCTCCCAGCCCTCCCCCCAGCCCTCCCCCCAGCCTGCACTCACAGCCTCGTACTCCTCAGCACTCTCGAAGCGCTCCCGCTGGATGCGGGTCATGTAGAGCACGTCGGTGTCGGGCAGCGCCTCCTCAATGCTCCCAAACTCCTCCTGGGGCAGCACCATCAGCGGGGCCGTGGGCCGGGCACAGCCCCACAGCCCCAGCTCCATTCCTCACCTGCGAGATGCCCTTGGAAGCCACGAAGGCAGCGATGTCAGGTGGCATGCCGAGGCCGCGGGGCGTGACGTAGCGCAGGTGGACACGGTACTGCGTGAGCAGGCGGGCCAGCGAGTGCACCGTGCGCCCGTGCTTCAGGTCGCCCACCATGGTGATCTGCGGGGAGAGTCATCAGCACAACCCACGGCACGGCACCCACCAGCCCACGGCACGGCATACAGCATCTCACCGTCATGCCGTTGACGGTCCCCAGCTCCTCACGGATGGTGAAGATGTCCAGCAGCGCCTGCGTCGGGTGCTCGCCCACCCCATCACCAGCGTTAATCACAGGCTTGCGGCAGTGTGTGGCGGCCAGCTGGGCACACAGTGGGCCAAGAGTGAAATCCCCACACGTATCCTGACAGCAGCATGGCATTGCCACGTGGCAGGAAGCAGCCCCCCCCTCACCTCCACAGCTCCAGGCTGGGGGTGCCGCAGCACCAGGACGTCGGCGTAGCAGCACATGGTCTGCACAGAGTCGGCTAGCGACTCGCCCTTCTGCACTGAGGAGGTGGCCTCGGAGAATGACACCACAGAGCCACCCAGCCGGCACATGGCGGCCGCAAAGGAGCTGCTGGTGCGTGTGCTCGCCTCGTAGAACATCGATGCCATCACTTTGCCCTGCAGGACATGGTGTCAGGCGTAGGGAGGGGAGTGGGGCACGCAGCGTTTGCTCCCTGCTCACCTTGAGGATGTCCAAACTGCGCTCCTTCTGCACCAGCATGCGCAGGGTGTGTGCCACGTTGAACAGATGTGACATCTGCGGGGAAATGCGGCTCAGGGGGGGCATCATCCAGCATGGAGACCCCCGCCCCGTGTCCGCCTGGTACCCACCTGCTCCTTGGAGAACTGCCGCACAGAGAGGATGTGCTGCCCGACCAGGGGGTGCAGCAGCGGTGAGGTGGGGAAGTGGGGCACACCTTGGGGGGATGCCTGGCGTGGGAAGGGGCCCGACAGGTGAGGGTGGCTGTCCTGAGTGGCCGTTGCATCTGTGGTACCAGGAGCACACAGTGAACCTACATGGGAAGCATGCAGAGCTCCCAGCCTCCGGTACTCACCTGCCTCTGCCATCCTCCTGCCAGCTTTCTCCCGTGTGTCCTCAGCTGAGCATGAAAGGGGAAGGCAGTGTTAGAGCACAGAGCTCCCGGCACCCTCAGCACCGCAGGCGTGACGCTACAGTGATGCTTGCCCCAAAACGAGCTGGGTCAAGCCCCCGCGCTGTGCCCCACATGCACCCCGTGGAACCCAACGGGACGCAGCCCTGATCCTGGGAGGCACAGGGCCCCGAGGTGCCGGGCGGGCTGGGGCTGAGCGGGAGGGGAGCGCCGCTGTGCTCCGTCCCAAGGTCTCAGCCCCTCACAAAGGGGGGCCCGGGGCTGGCGCGGCACCTGGGGGGGGCTGCACTCATCGGCTGCGCTTATAGTGCCATAACGCGGGGCTGAGTGAGTCCCCCCCAACATTACCGGTGCCTCGGGCGCCCGGGCGGTGCGCGGCTCCCAGCCTCTGGAACGCTGAACGGGACACAAGGGCAGGGTCAGCGCGGCACCCGGCCCCGACACGGCTCCCACACGGCCACATGCACGCTGTCCCCCTGCGCCACGCTGTGCCCCCCTCACCTGGCAGACCAGGGTCAGAGGCGCGGTGGATGCGGGGCGGGAGGTGGAAGCGGCCCTCGGGCACGGGGCCGGCGCGGCGTGGGCTGGAGGCTCGGCTGCGCAGCGTCTCACCCACCGCTGCGTGCCGGGGCCGCTCGGGGGTCTGCAGAGAGGGGATAAGTTGGAGCAGGGCACAGGTTGTGCCCCCCTGGCACCCTGCACCCCATTACCTTCACAATCTCCTTGGTGGGGGGCACAAGCGGTGCCAGCACAGCTCCCATGGGCCACTTCCTCACGTCCTGCCCGTAGCCGGGGGGCACCAGGACCTGTGGCCACGGACAGGGCGATCAGGGCTCAGAGACCCCTAGCTGAGCAGATTTGGTGCTCGGGGACCACTGCATGTAGGGGAGCAGCACAGGGAGTGGCATTTGGTTCCCACCTGCCCATCAATGTAGGCGACCTCCCCGCGCAGAACCACCCTGCGCACTGTCCCCTTCACATTCCTGCCCTCAAAAGGTGTCCATTGTGCCTTGGAGAATGCAGTGCGCTCAGGGATGACCCACTCTTGCTCCAAGTCCACCTGCAGGGAGAGTGGTCAGAGTCTGGGGCTGGCTGTGGGGTGAGCAGTGGAACAATGACCCACCTCCACATAGGTGTCCTCCTGCGCCGGCAGCCCAAAGATCTTGCGGGGGTTCTCGTAGAGGCGCAGGATGATATCCTCCACCGTCAGCCGTCCCTCAGAGACAGCAGTCAGCAGCAGAGGCAGCATGGTCTCCAGCCCAGGGAAGCCAGGGGGTGGCTTGGGGCCCTGCTTCTCCTCCAGTGTGTGGGGAGCTGCAGGGTGGAGAATGTTACCATAGTGCTTGGCCCCGCTCATCTCTGCCCTGTGCCCACGAGCGCTCACCGTGGTCAGTGGCAAAGCAGTCGATGGTGTCCATGTTCTCCCAGAGGGCCTCCAGGTCCTGGGAGGTGCCCAGTGCTGGGCGTACAGCACCACAGCCCTCCCCGAGGCGCCCCAGGTCATCTTGGCACAGGAAGAGGTGGTGTGGGGCCACCTCGCACGTCACCGGGATCCCCTTCTGCTTGGCTGCCTTGATGAGGAGGATCTGGAGGGGGCACGGTGAGGGGCAGACCCCCAACTTGTCTCACCATGGGAGGGGGTCCCAGCCCTCTGCTCACCTCCTCCCTGCGTGCCACGTGGCAGATGTGCACGGGGCGCTGGTGCAGCTGTGCCACCATCAGGACAGCAGCCACCGTCTGCCCCTCCGCGTGGGCCACGATGGGCAAATGCCGTGGCCACTGCTGGAAGTGCTGTGGGAACACGAAACGATGGGTGCTGGAGCCAACACCGAGCCCCTCTGCAATTCCCCCCCCCGCAGCAGCTCACCTCCATCCACAGCGACACATCATCCATGCGCAGGCTGGAGAAGGTGTCGTTGAGGTACAGCTTCAGCCCTGCTGCTGCTGCAGCCAGCGCACCCAGTGAGCCCGCGTTCTCCGCCGATGCACCCAGGAACAGGGCGAAGTCACAGCGCGCCCCGGCCTCAGCCAGCTGCAGGGATGAGACAGTGGGCTCAGCAGGGCAGAGCTGACCTGCAGGCTTCATGGGAAGGGGACATGGCCACACCAGCTCCCCACTCACCTTCTGTGCCAGGGCGAAGGAGGTGGCGTCGGTGATGGCGGGGCTGGTGTTGGGCATGGCACACACCATGGTGATGCCCCCGGCCAGGGCAGCTGCAGTGCCCGAGGAGAAGTCCTCCTTGTGTGTGGCACCCGGCTCACGCAGGTGCACATGGACATCGATCAGCCCTGGGAACAGCGAGCATCAGTGTGGGAGCACTGGGGAAGGTGGTAGGGCATGGGGATACGGTGGACACGGAGAGGAGGCAGCGAAGTGGAACATCTCTGATCCTACGGCTGCTCCGTGGGGCACAACCCCAGCCTCACGTCAACCCCAGCCCTCAAACCTGGCAGGCGGATCAGTTTCTGGGATGTCATGCAGTCCACGTGCATTTTGAGCGGCGGGGCAGCTCCAATCTGGCCCAGTGCCTGCAGGCACAAGCATCATCAGGCTGGGCACATCCACCATGGGCGAACGAGGCAGGGCCAGGAGGATGCCTGCCCAGACCCCACAACATCACCCAGTGGAGCTCTCCACGCCGTGCCCATCCCACCTCTACGAAGAGTTTGGTGCATTTGATGTCAATGATGAGTGGCACGGAGTAGTCAACAGCCAGGCGCCGCGTACGGTAACCCTTGGTGACAAAGGAGGAGAGCCGGCGACCCCCAGAGTTACGCATGGAGAGGTTGATGACCATCTCAAAGTGGTTCTCTGCCAGGTAGTCCAGGATGCTGCGCTGTGTCTCACGGGCACCCGCTTCAGTGTTGTCTGCCTCCTCGAAGTGCCAATCCACTGCCATCACCTATGGCAATGCCACCGTCACCACTCCGTGCTGGCACCACAGAGCTCCCCACCAAACCCTGAGCTCCCACCTTGATGCCATGCTCAGTGTAGAAGTCAGCAGTGCCAAGGCTAGCATACAGATTGTAGCCAAGGCTCTCCAGGGTCCGCACGGTGGGCAGCAGCTCGCTCTTGTTCTGCAACAGCACCACAGGGGTCAAAGTGTATTTGGGGTAGCCGACCCACCGCCGGCACCCCACGCACCTTGTAGCTGCCGATGGTGAGCAGGATGTTCTTCTTGGGGATCTTGAAACCGGTGCTGAGCATGGCCTTGAGGTACGCCTCGCAGCGGTTCTCTCCGAAGCAGGCCACCTCACCCGTGCTCGTCATCTCCACACCCAGCACCACATCAGCACCCGCCAGGCGTGAGAAGGAGAACTGCGGCACCTGCGGGCACAGAGGATCAGCGGCCACCCAACACAGCCCCCATCCCACTGCTGGCTCCAGCTCACCTTGACACCGACGATGCCCGTGCCCGTCATCAGCCCTACGGGCTGCACATCCTCACCCATGATCACCTGGCTGGCCAGGGCCACCAGGTCCACTCCCAGCGTCTTGGAGACGAAAGGGAAGGAGCGTGACACACGCACATTGCACTCAATCACCTTCAGCTGGTCATCCTACAGAGAGGGGATGGTGTGAGGCACGTCCTGAAGCTGCAGGGTGCTCAGTGCCTCCCAGCATGGCTCTGCCCTCCTCAATACCTTGGCGATAAGCTGCAGGTTGAAGGGCCCGGTGACCTGCAGCTCCTGCCCAATAGCATGCACGATGGCCTTGATGCGCTCCAACGTCTTGGGCGTGATGTCTTGTGGGGGGGTCACCAGCGTGGCATCGCCCGAGTGCACTCCAGCATTCTCTACGTGCTCAGAGATGGCAATGGCCACCACCACGCCATCACAGGCCACCGCATCCACGTCGATCTCCTGTGAGCAGGCACACTGTCACAGCTCCATCCCGCCACAGCTCTGGCGCAGCACAGGAATGACATCCAACCTTGGCCTCCTGAATGAACTTGGAGATGACAACGGGCTGCTCCTTGGACACGGCCACGGCATTGCTAAGGAACTTCTCCAGGTCACTGTCCGAGTAGGCAACATTCATGGCAGCGCCGCTCAGCACGTAGGAGGGTCGCACCACGCAGGGGTAGCCCACCGTGCAGCAGAAGTGCTTGGCCGACTGTGGGGAGACACACAGCTCAGTGGGTGGTGGTGGGGGGCACAGCCCCGGGGCAGCCTTGCACCCACCTCCATGTCAGAGAGCTCCTTCCAGAGCGGCTGGCTGATGCCAATGGTGTCCAGCAGGCGCGAGAACTTGAAGCGATTCTCGGCTGAGTCAATGGCCTCGGGGGAGGTGCCCAGGATGCGGCACTGCTGCCGGTGCAGCGCCATGGCGATGTTGTTGGGCAGCTGGCCACCCATCGACAGGATGACACCCTCGGGATTCTCCAGTTCGTAGATGTCCATCACCACCTGTGGCATGGGGCCGGCTGGGAGGGGGCCGCGCAGCCCCCATCCCTTTGGGGCAGCTTCCGAGACTTCCTGCCCTGCGGCACGCAGCCCTCACCCGCTCACCTCAAAGGAGATCTCGTCAAAGTAGAGGCGGTCACACATGTCATAGTCAGTGCTCACAGTTTCAGGGTTGTAATTCACCATAATGGTCTTGAAGCCCATCTGTAGGGCAGAGCAGTGCGGTGAGGCCAGGGACACCCCCAGCCCCATTCCTCCCCCACATCCCTGCATCCCACCAACCCCAGCCCACCTTGCGCAGCTCCTGGATGCAGCCGACAGCGCACCAGTCGAACTCGACGGAGCTGCCGATGCGGTAAACGCCAGAGCCGATGACCATAACGTGGGGCTGGCGGAAAGGCAGGTCGTGTTCAGCACCGTTGTAGGTCAGGTAGAGGTAGTTGGTCTGTGCCGGCCACTCGGCCGCCACCGTGTCGATCTGCTTCACCACCGGCAGGATGCCCAGGTCACGCCGCATCTTCCGCACGGCCAGCTCAGTGCTGCAAGGAACAGGGTGAGCACCGGCCGTGGGGCAGCAGCAGCAGCAGCAGGGTGGGGACCGCCCCTCACCTGAGCACAGCCAGGGCCACCTGCTTGTCAGAGAAGCCGAGCTGCTTGGCGCGGCGCAGAACAGCAGGCGGCATGGCGCTCTGCTCGCCGCGGAACGCCTCCAGCCGCGCCGCGTGGTCGGTGATGTTCTTCATCTTGTGCAGGAACCAGCGGTCGATCTTGGTCAGTTCATAGAGGCGCTCGATGGAATACCCAGCGCGCAGCGCGGCCGCCAGCACGAAGATGCGCTTGTCTGTCGGAGTCTCCAGCTCCTGGGGAGCAGAGGGGTGAGCGGCGCACAGCCTCTCACGTCTGACCCGTGAGCCGTGCTGAGCCCCAGCACTCACCACGTCTGACGCCGGCTTCACCGTGTGGTCAAAGCCCACGCAGTTCTCATCCACCATCCGCAGCGCCTTCTGGAAGGCCTCCTCGAAGTTCCTGCCGATGGCCATCACCTCCCCTGTGGGAGGCTGTGAGTGGACAGAGCCCCACAGGCTGCCCCGTGCCACGCCACTCTGCCCCGCTGCGCTCACCCACGCTCTTCATGGAGCTGCCGATCTTGGTGCTGACACGCAGGAACTTGCTGAGGTCCCAGCGCGGGATCTTCACCACACAGTAGTCCAGGCTGGGCTCGAAGTTGGCGGTGGTGGAGTTGGTGACAGAGTTCCTGCACAGCGCGTGGGACAGCGTTGGCACACGGAACCCACAACACAGCTAAGGTGTGCCCCGTGCCCCCACGGCGACATTATTACCTGAGGACAGGCAGCGGGATGCCCAGCGCCAGCTTGGCTGCAACATAGGCCAGCGGGTAGCCTGTGGCCTTGCTGGCCAGTGCTGAGCTGCGGGAGAGCCTCGCGTTCACCTCAATGATGTAGTACTGCAAGAAGCAATGCGCCATGAGCACAGATAGGGCCCCGCCACCACCACCACAGGAGGGCACACGGGGGGCACGCTGCGTCCACCTGCTCTGACTCAGGGTTCAGGGCGAACTGGATGTTGCACTCGCCCACGATGCCCAGGTGCTGCACCACCTTGATGGCGGTGTGGCGCAGCATGAAGTACTCGGTGTCGTTGAGAGTCTGGCTGGGTGCCACCACGATGGACTCACCCGTGTGGATGCCCAGCGGGTCCAGGTTCTCCATGTTGCACACCTGGGGCAGGGATGCATTGGCTGTCCATTACCTGTGCTTCCCATTCCACCATACGCCACGATGGCCTCACTGGGGGTCCCCACCTTCTCCCCGCCCCAGACAGCACCAGAGCTCCCCGCACCACCACGACCTGAGCGCGGCACCGTGCGCATAGAGGGCACAGTAGGGTCTTGGTGCCAGCATACAGCAGTTGTGCTGGCACAAGAAAACGGTCTTGGGGAACCCTGCTACCCCTCAGCACCGCTGCTGTACCGTGACGCAGTTGTTGTAGGCGTCGCGCACCACCTCGTACTCAATCTCCTTCCAGCCCTTCAGCGACTTGTCCACCAGCACCTGGGAGGTGTGGGTGAAGGCCTGGCTCACCAGGGCTGCCAGCTCCTCCCGGCTGGAGGCGAAGCCGGAGCCCAGGCCTCCCAGGGCGTACGCCGAGCGCACCAGCACCGGGTACCCCAACCGCTCAGCCGCCGCTTGCGCCTGCAGAGAGCACAGAGTGAGCGTGGGATGGCACCCCCTGGGGACAACCCCCATCCTGCCCCCACACCATGCTGCAGCCCCCAGACCTGCTCCAGGGAAGCAGCGGCCTCGCTGGGCGCCACATGCTCGCCGATTTCCTCCATCTTCTCCACGAAGACCTTGCGGTCCTCCGTCATCTCAATGGAAGTGACAGGAGTGCCCAGCACACGCACGCGGTAGCGCTGCAGCACGCCGCCCTTGGTCAGCTCCACGCCACAGTTGAGGGCTGTCTGCCCACCGAAGGTCAGCAGCACGCCGTCGGGGCGCTCGTTGCGGATCACCTACGGGATGGGGGACGGGGCAGTGAGCTGCAGACCCACAGCGGCCCCCGCCATCCCCACAGCACTCACCTGGGTGACATACTCAGGGGTGATGGGCAGGAAGTACACCTTGTCTGCCAGCCCTTTGGAGGTCTGCACCGTGGCGATGTTGGGGTTGATGAGCACCGTTTGAATGTTCTCCTCTTTAAGCGCTTTGATGGCCTGGAGATCAGGGGGACAGCGATATCAGCTCCACATGGAGGTCCCTGTTTGCCTTGGAGTTCCCTGTGCGCTCTGAGGGATGCTCACCTGTGACCCTGAGTAGTCAAATTCGCCTGCCTGTCCGATGGAGAGTCCACCGGAGCCCAGGATCAGCACCTTGCGGGGTCGTGCTGCCTCCTGCCCTGCTGCCGGCACCTCGTTGTACACCAGGAGATCCCGCAGGCGCTGTCGCACTGCAGGGATGGGATGGGATGGGATGGGATGGAGCAGGGCTGCCATGGTCCTGTGCACAGCCCCACGGCCTCGCACAGCACCCAGCACAGTGGCTGCAAACACAGCAGAGTGCCCCAGCACCAAATGCAGTCCTACAGTCACTCATGCACGACCTTAGCCCTGAGCACCAACTGCAGCCCAAAGCCCCATCAACCCACAGCCCTGAGCAATCCTGGCCCCAAGCGTCTCCACTGCCCCAGGACCTTGAGTACAGAATCCCACGCACAGCCCAGCCCCAAGCCCTGACCTCAGGCCCAGCACCCCGCACACAGCCATCCCCAACTCTGGGAGGTTCATATCTCCCCCAGCCCCATGCCCACCTGTTTTGTCGTTGTCTCCTCTCTGCAGGTCCCGCACCGCCTCCACAAAGACATCAAAAAGCCCCTCCAGGTCTGTGGGGCCAGCACGGTGCTCGGGGTGGAACTGCACACTGCAGGGGCACCAAGTGAGACACAAACCCACATCCCCAGCCCCACGCCAGGGCGACCCTGTACCTACCTGAAGAAGGGTTTGTGCTCGTGCACCAGCCCCTCGTTGGAGCCATCGTTGGCATTGGTGAAGAGCGGTGCCCAGCCAGGAGGCAGACTGCCTGCCTCCACCGCAAAGCCGTGGTTCTGTGCTGTGATGAAGCAGCGCTGCGTGTCCTCGTGCACACACGGCTGGTTGTGCCCACGGTTCCCATACCTGGGGGGTGCGGGGAGACGGGCACAGAATGTCACTCACCCAGTTGAACACCAGGTTCCCCCCCCCAGAGGTGGAACCCGACTCACTTCATCTTGTAGGTGCGGGCGCCCAAGGCCAGGGCCAGCAGCTGGTGGCCCAGGCACACCCCAAAGATGGGCTTGGGGCGGTCAGCCGCCAGCACGGCACGCAGGTTGGCCACTGTCTGCTGACACTGCCGTGGGTCCCCGGGGCCATTGCTGAGGAAGAGCCCATCGAAGTCTGCACACAGACAGCAGTGTTAGGCTGGGGATCCCATAGGTCTCCCCATTTTATGGAGTCACAGTGGGGACTGCAGCCCCACAGCTCCCAAATGGGATCACACAGTGGTCACTGACCCCATTGCTCACAGCACACCACGATGCCCCATATCAAGTTACAGCAAGCATCCCTACATCACACCTCCCTTATAAACCCCAGTGAGAGTTACGCCGCAATGCCCAACCCCCTAGAATAGGGCAGACCCCCAGCGTGAGGCTCCCCAAGGCCCCCTGCACTGATTCTACCCCACACCCACCCTCCAACCCCAGAGCCCCCTACCGGCAGGGTCCAGCGGATGGTCCCATGGCACCACGGTGACGGCAGCCCCCCGCTCACAGAGGCACCGCACTTGGTTGTGCTTCAGGCCACAGTCCACAGCGGTGATGCGCAGGGATCCAGTGGGGTTAAAGACACGCGGCTCCTACAGAGAAGGTGAGCCGGGAGTCTGGCCCATCGCCACCCCACAGCCTGGGCCCAGCTTCCTCATACCTTCAGGGACACCTCCTGCACCAGGTGCCGCTCATTTGGGTCCTGGAAGAGGATGCTCTCCTCTGGGGCTTCATCTGGCAGCAGCTTCCCCAGCAGTGTGCCCTTCTCACGGATCTTCTTGGTGAGGGCACGGGTGTCCACGCCTATGGGTGCAGGCTGATGTGGAGCCTCACGGTCCCACGGCAACTTCATCACCCCCCCCACTGGGCACAACTTCACAGATCTCAGTGCAAGTTGAGCTCTGCTCCAAACTCGCTACCTCCAGGTGTCCCCAGCCCTGCCCACCCCCAGCACTGACCCCGTGGCCCTGACCCCCAGCCCCACCTTCCAGCCCGGGGACGTTGTGCTCCTTGAGCCATTGGTCGAGGGATTGGGCAGCGCTCCAGTGGCTGGGGGTCTCCGAGCATTCGCCCACTACCAGCGCAGCCACGTGGATCTTGGTGGACTCGAACCACTGCGGGGAGATAAGAGCGGCCAAAAGCCTAGGAATTCGCCCCGGAGCCACGGGGCAGGGCTGGGGGAGCCTCCAGGCGGGGACCCCCACAGCACAAGTGCGGCACCGCCGCGCCACGCCGGGTGTCCCCCAACCTCCCCCATCCCCACACCGACCCCAGGCGCCGAAGGAAGCCCGGACAAACCCACGGCCCCGGCGGCCCCGCCCCCACCCGCGGCCCCACGGCGGGGCGCTCCCACCCGAGAGCCGCGTGGGGGGCGGGGAAGGAGGACTCTGCCCCGGGGGTCGGGGGGCCCGGCGCTCACCGTGCCGAGCCCGAAGGGTCCCGGCCGCTCCCGGGGCACGCCGTAGTTGCCCATCAGCGGGTAGGTGAGCACCAGGATCTGCGCCGCGTACGAGGGATCGGTGAGCGCCTCGGGATACCCCACGACTCCCGTCTGGAACACTGCGGGGAGAAAAACGCGGAGCGGGGGATCCGCGCGCGTCCCCGCGCATCCCGCACCCTTCCCGCATCCGGTCCCGCCGCACTCACCCACTTCCCCGCTGACGGCCGTGCCCGTAGCCCCGAAGGCGCGGCCGCGCAGCACGGAGCCATCCTGCAGCACCAGGCGGCCCATGGCGGTGCCACGTGCGGGGAAGTGCGGGAGGCGGCAGCGGAGGAGCGCGGGGAGTGCGGGAGGGGCGGGGCGGGGTACCGAGAGAGGGAGATGCGCGGGGGGCGGGGCCAGAAACGATGGGGGCGGGGCATCGAGGGAGACGGACCAATCAGCGCGCGGTTGGGCGGGAAAAGAGAGCAGAAAAAACTGAGCAGCGCGGGACGGGAGCGAATGGACCCGGGGGTAAACGGCGCTGTTGTGTAGATAAAGGTAAAAATCAACTCAATCTGCTGTTGTACCGCATGACCAGGGGAGAGCGCGAACGCAGTCCCCCACTACCACAAATTATGCAGTCGAGTTTCCCGCATTTGGGGAAATCGCAGGGGTCAGCACACCCGGAGTGCAGGGGATGAGCCTCGCCCTGGGAAAACCACCTGCCTGATCATGGTGTCTCCCCTGCCAGGTAAGTATGCTTGGTTCGTCCAACGCCCCGCTCCCCACGCCCCGCCACCAGCCCGCACCGCACGGCGACCCGCCGTTCCACACCACTCTCCCCACTCTGCTCCCCGCCCAACTCCGAGCTCCTCTCCAAGCCCCGCGCCGCGTCCCACGCAAGTTCTACGGAGCTCTACGTCCGTTCCGTTTCCTATTAGTGCTCCCGGCATACCGCGTGCGGAGCGATCAGCATACTGATCTACATACTAATCTGCATGACCCCGCCCCATCCCGCCGGACTGCCCAACATTGCCGCTCCAGAGCATGGACCGACCGTGAGCCCGCTATGACACCCGAACCACAGCGCCCCCAACCGCCGAGCGGGGTAACGCAACCAGAGGAGCGGGACGGAAGTGGAGGTGAACCGGAAGTGGGGCAACACCATACAGGTGGCGCGAGGCGACTGGCTTCCGGCTACCAGGGGTGGGGCCGTGCGACGAGCGGGGGCGTGGCGGAGGAAAGCAGCGCGCCGTGAGAGCGTGATGAGGGCGGGAAGTGGGTAGGCGGGGCCATGCAGATCAGTATGCTGATCCATCCGCGCACGGCATGCCGGGGCGCGCTAAATAGAAAATGGAACGCGTGTGGAGCCCAGTGGCATAGCGTGGTCCCTGACGCAGGGATGCAGGAGGGGTGCGGAGTTGGGCGAGGCGCAGGGGTGGGTGGTTGGTTGGGAACGGCGAGCTCCGTGCGGTGCGGGCTGGTGGCGGGGCGTGGGGAGCGGGGCGTTGGAGGAGCCAAGCATACTTACCTGGCAGGGGAGACACCATGATCAGGCAGGTGGTTTTCCCAGGGCGAGGCTCATCCCCTGCACTCCGGGTGTGCTGACCCCTGCGATTTCCCCAAATGCGGGAAACTCGACTGCATAATTTGTGGTAGTGGGGGACTGCGTTCGCGCTCTCCCCTGGTCATGCGGTACAACAGCAGACTGAGTCGCTTTCTCCTTGTTGTTCGCCGCAGCGCTCTGTCGCTCCGTGCGCCCGCCGTTCTATCCCGCGCTGCTTGCAGTTTCCCCGTAAGTTTCCCGTCTCTCCGCACCTCTTCATCTCCCACTCAACTCTCCGTTCCCGTTCGCCCCCACTCCGCGCACACCGCACGCCTCAGCTTCCCGCCCCGCCTCTCCCGCACTCGCCGCTCTCCCGCGCTGCGGCCGTCCACAGCCCCGCACGCGGCGCTTTTCCATCCCGATGACGGGTTCCGTTCCCCGCTGACACTGCCGGGCTGTTCCCCACTCGCCTTTCCGATCCCGCCGCTGCGACGTCCCCGCAGAGAGCGAGCGGAGCGGCAGCGCAATGGAACGAGGCGCGAGCCCGGCAGCACCGCGACACGGATCCGTTGTAGCTGCACGGCACGGCGCGGCACGAGCGCGGAGTAAAACGACTCAATCTGTTGTTGTACCACATGACCAGGGGAGAGCGCGAACGCAGTCCCCCACTACCACAAATTATGCAGTCGAGTTTCCCGCATTTGGGGAAATCGCAGGGGTCAGCACACCCGGAGTGCAGGGGATGAGCCTCGCCCTGGGAAAACCACCTGCCTGATCATGGTGTCTCCCCTGCCAGGTAAGTATGCTTGGCTCCTCCAACGCCCCGCTCCCCACGCCCCGCCACCAGCCCGCACCGCACGGCGACCCGCTTCCCAAACTACGCAGCTGCTCCGTTCCACTCCGCCTCTCCGTGACCCCACATCGCGGCCCACTCAAGTTCCAAAGGGCTTCACGCGTGTTTCGTTTCTGGTGCAGCACACTCCCGGCATGCCGCGCGCTTTTTTTATTTGCATAGATCCGCCCGTTTCCACTCTACCCCACCCTCACGCGCACAGAGTTACTACCTGTGCACCCCTGTGGGCGGAGCGCGATTTGCATAGCCCTCCCCCCCCCCCCCCCCATCACACCTCCGACCGCGGGCTTTCCTTTCGGTCCCCTCCGCTCCCGCACAGCCCGGCCGAACCGATGCTGGAGGACCGGGCACTGTGAAGCCAATCCGCCAATCCTGCCCCCACGCAGCGCCAGCAGCAGAGCAGACACACAGGCTCACAACCGCGCGCACTTTATTCTGCCCGTTTCCCCGCGGTGTGGTCGCATCCCACACCTCTTCTCCAATCCCGGTCACGGCCCTGCAGCGTGCCGGCGCTGGGTGCCCCATAATGTGAGGCTCAGTGCTGCTGTCACCGTCCCCAGCACGCTGCAGAAGAGCGGCACGGGGAAGGCGCCCTGTAAAGTGAGCACGGTGAGGTCACTGCCCTCTCTGAGCCATTCTGTGCACCCCTGGCCCCACGCACCCACCTGCCGCAGACACTTGTAGCCGTGGAAGGGGCTGGCACAGAGGCACTGTGAGAGGCCGGGGCCGTCCGGGGCACAGGCAGCATTCTCAGGGCACAGCGGGGCTGCTGGGCAGCATGGGGTCACGGGCTGTCCTGTCTCGTGCCACGCCGTGCCCCCGTGCAGGGCCATGGCTGGGAGAGCCCTCCAACCTACCGAGCTCCTCAGAGCCGTTGCAAGGGTTCCTCTGGCCCCGGCACAGGCGGCCGCTGCCATACGTCGTCACCTCCTCCCATGCACCACTGCCACCTGGGCACGGTACTGCCAGCGGCACCACGCTGCAAACCAGAGCTCAGCACCGCGTACGGCCCCAGGATCCCCCACCCAACCCCAATACTCACAGTTGCTGCAGCTGTGTGAAGCCCAAGAAGGAGTCAGCAGGGAGCGCCGGCAGCGGGTTCTCCGTCAGGTCCCTACCAACGCATCACACCGACTGCACCCCGGGGCCAGGAGGGACACCTCAGGGTGGGACGGGCAGCCGTGCCCCACCCGCACACCTCCCCCTTCCCTCAGCACTCACAGCACGACGGCAGCCGCAGCCTCGCTGAAGGCACTGGGGAGGGTCTGCAGGGCACAGTTGCTGAGGTCCAACCTGGGGAGGGCAGCACCGGGAGCCCCGTGTTCCCTCGTTCCGCTCCCATACTCCTCGGCCATACTCACACCCCTGGCCCACACCACCCCACCCCCACGCCCTGTACCGCACCCAATACCCATAGCGCACCCCACACCCATTATCCCCCCATCCCTACAGCCGTACCCCAGCAGCTGCTGCCGCCCGGATGCCCGCCCCACGCAGCAGCGGCCCCACAGCTCCGTGTCGGCCCTGGAGGCGCAGTACTGTGACACGACGGAGCCGTTGCTCGGCGGCCCCGGACAGCTCCCGCACAGCAGCGTTGGGATTCCCCCGGCCCCGGGCAACGGCAGCAGCAGCAGCAGCAGAAGGGAGGCCGCAGCCCCGCCCCGCCCCGAGGCCGCCCCCGGATGGGCTCCTCCTGGCAGCGGGGCGGGGCGCGGCCGGGCGGAACGACCGCACGGTGCGGCCAATGGCTCAGCCATTAACGGAGCGCACCCACCGGGACCGTAGTGCTCCGCAGGTGCCGAAGCGCGGCGACCCGACCTCGGCGGCGCCACGTGACGCGTTCCACGCACGGGATTGGACGAAAGGACGCTGACGGCATTGAGGCGCGCGGGGAGCCGGGCTGGAGGTGAGGTGATGCTCGGCGGCGTGACGTCATCAGTGTGCGCCGCGGCGCTTCAGGCGCACGTGGGCTGGGCCGGGCAACCGCCCGGTGAGTGGTGATGGTGGTGGCGGCGCGGAGCGGGGATGTGCGCAGCACGCAGCACGCAGCGCCGGAGCACGGCGCGGGGGGCGTGCGGGGCCATAATGTTCCGGGGAACCGGGAGATCGGGAAACCGGGGCTCGGGCAGGGGATGAGGACCGGGAGGCGGGATAGGGGGCACGGGGGGGATCGCGGGGGATCTTCAGGTTGCGGGCAGCGGGGCAAAGGAGTAAGGAGGGGAGCGGGGTATTGGCCTGGGGTCGTGGGGGCACCGGGACACGGGGGGTAGTGCCGGCACGTGGGAACACGGGGAGGCAGTGAGGGGGCACGGGAACTCAGCAGTACAGGGAGCGCAGTTATGGCCTGGGGTTCAGAGGGGCACCGGGACACGGGGAACCGTGCGGGGGACATGGGGACACCGGAGGGCAGTGTGGGGACACGGGGATACCGCGGGACGCTGCTGCCGGCACGGGATACGCGTAGGACCCAGAGCCCGGGGGGGCAGAGCACCGTTGGGGAATGCCGGGGCATCGGGCCAGGAATGCGGCGGGGGGGTAGGAGGGGGATTGCCCCTTGTTGTGTCTCAGCGCGTGGCGGGTGACCTTGGACCATGCCCGCTGTGCGGGCGGGGCGGGCAGCGCTGCCCTCTCGCCTCCTTTCAGCACCGCCAACCGCTGCTCCTCGCTCCGGGCACGGCAGCGTGGGGCTAATCCAGCCGCATTCCTGTTGGGATCAGCGCCGCCCGCCCCGTCATCGCGCGGCCCCATATGGGGGTGAGCCTGCCCAAGTGCGGGAAGAGCGGCGGGTTCGGCCCGCACGGAGCCTGCCCGTCCGGATCCCGCCTTGCCGGTCTTGCCGGCTGCGGAGTTGGGGTCGGCGCTGGGCGGGGCTGCCGAGTTCGCTTTGGCCCGGGGTCGAGCCGCGGGGGAGCGGGGAAGAGAAGGCTGCGGTGACCCCCCCCGGGTGCGTCCCCCCCCCTAGGTCC